GGTCTCGGTGAGAAGTGGCCAGAACCCATCGTCCGAGTTCAGTCCTTAGCCGAGAGCAATCTCACCACCCTCCCCGACCGTTACATCAAACCCCCGTCTCAACGCCCTCAAACCACCACCACCAACCACAAACCGGAAGCTGCCACCATAAATATCCCAGTCATTGACCTAGACAGTCTCTTCTCCGGCAACGAAGAAGACAAGGAGAGGATATCTGAGGCATGCCGTGAGTTTGGTTTTTTCCAGGTAAAAATGACATTCGATGTTTCGGTTCGGTTTTAATCGGTTATCTTTTTTATTTTTATTTTCGGGTTTGAGAAATGCTTTTTTCAACTTGTAAACACAATTGTCTTTTGGTTTGGTTAAGTTTAAATTTTGGATAAAACAATACAAATAATCACGTTTTGTTTTTGTTATTTGGGTCAATAATCACCTTTTAGTTAGGATTATATATACACATGTTTTGTATAAGTGTTTTCGGTTTTATTGAACCGAATTCAGTTTCGATTCGGTATTAACTGAATTTATTTTAAAATGTCGATCGATTTGGTTCGGTTTATATGCACGATCCTATTTTCAGGTGATCAACCATGGGGTGAGGCCGGAGCTTATGGACGCGGCTAGAGAGGCATGGAAAAGCTTCTTTAATTTGCCTGTCGAAGCCAAAGAAGTTTACTCAAACTCCCCAAGGACCTATGAAGGATACGGAAGCAGATTGGGTGTGGAAAAAGGAGCAATTCTTGATTGGAATGATTATTACTATCTCCATTTTCTTCCTCTTTTCTTGAAGGATTTCAACAAATGGCCTTCTTTACCTTCCAACATTAGGTAATTAAGCCTTTAATCTTTTTCTTATCTTTTTCTTTTATAACGAATTTTTGGTTCGATTTTCTCTATGAGAACTTGAGAATTTATAGCTAGTGTAATTAATCTTTAAACTAGTTGATATTCTTATTTTTAAAATCGATCATTTATGGCGAAGTTTGAGATGGTCCAAATTAATTGAACTATATTTTTTTTGTAATATTAAATGAAGACTATCATTACGATTCTGGTCTTTTAAGAAATAATATAGAAACATTTTAAAAAAAAAAAAACATTTTCAAAGAAATTTATCCATGTCTTGCTGTGTTGATTGGCGATTATGTTGAACATAAGAAATGACCACATCTGATTTATGATCAGTGATCACTGTTCATATTTACCGCAATAGTTAATCTCAGTACATTTTAATGTTTTTTTTGTCCTTCTCTATATCCATAAGAAATGACCATATATATTTCTTGTTAACAAGTTTTCTCAATTAAAATATGCATATGTATATGGATATAGAGAAGTGGTAGATGAGTACGGCGAGGAGCTAGTGAAGCTAGGCGAGAGACTTATGAGGTTATTATCGTCAAACTTGGGACTAAAAGAAGAACAACTTCAAGAAGCATTTGGTGGTGAAGACGTAGGTGCATGTATGAGGGTAAACTATTACCCGAAATGCCCTCGACCGGAGCTTGCCCTAGGCCTCTCCCCTCATTCCGATCCCGGCGGCATTACCATCCTTTTGCCGGACGATCAAGTCGTCGGCCTTCAAGTCCGTCACGGTGATACGTGGATCACCGTCAATCCTCTCCGCCACGCTTTTATCGTCAATCTCGGCGATCAAATTCAGGTAACCCTATTTATTCTTACATTTTTGCTTTTTAATTGCGTAAGGTCTAAG